TGCTTCAAAACTCCTTTAATAAGGCCAGTAATAACCTGACACAAAAACACATATAAAGATAAACATAAAATGAAATGAATAGGCTGATATCTTTGTAAACACACAAATCCCCAACAAATGCTGGCAACCCAATTTGACGATTAAGTAAAAAAAAAAAAAAAATCCATCATCAATAATTTGTCTTTCACTCCAAAGATATAGTTTAAAATACATAAATCAATAAAACTATCCACTAAAGAGACCAAAAGAAATCACAGAATAATCTCAATAAATATAGAAAATGCTTTTGACAAATTTCAACAACCCTTCATAATAACTCACAGAGAAGCAATGGATGGAAGGAACACAATGCAAAATAATAAAGTTCATATAACAATCTTACAGCATATCATGCTAACAGGAGAATTCAAAAAGTTCCAACTAAGATCACGCACAAGAGTGTCCATTTTCTGTACTCATAGTCAATACAGTGTGTGAAGTCTTAGGTGGCACAATCAGACAAGAGAATGAAATAAAAGGGATTGCAAACAATAAAATAACTGAAAGTATTCCTGTTTGAAGATAATAGTGTTTTATACAAAAGAGACCATAAAGACTCTACCAGAAAAAAAAATAACTAGAGCTGATAAACATTTTCAGCAAGTGGAAAGTTACAAAATGAACACGGGAAAATTAGTAGCTTTCCTATATACTAATGATAAACATACTGAAAAGTAAGTCAAGGAGATGAACCCATTCACAATAGCCCCCTCCCAACACATAAACACACATACTATATAGAAACAAACATTTCCAAGGAAAAGAAAAATATATGCATTGAAAACATTAAAACACTGAAAAAGAAAATTTAGAAAGACCCTAGAACATAAAAAGATTTTTCAGGAATAATCAATAATTATGAAAAATGCCATCCAGTAAAGGAATGTACTGATTAGATACAATCCCAACCAAAAGTCCAGGGACAATCTCAAAACATATATGTAGGCTCAAAGAACTGAAACAGCCAAAGTAACTTGAACATAAAGAATTCTGAGTGAGGCATCACCATACCTGACTTTAAGTTATACTACATTGCTACACATTAAGAAATTTAGCACATACACACACACACATACACACCCGATCAACGGAATAGAATATAATTCCATGCAACTATAGCCACCTGATTCTGTCACAGATGCCAAAAATATACACTGGAGAAAAGACAGCATCTTTGACAATTTGTGCTGAGAAATCTGGATTTTAACATGTAAAATAATTTAAAATGAGCCATTATCTCTTTCCCTGCACAAAACTCAACTTCAGATGGATCAAGGACCTCAACTGAAGACTTGATATCTGAAACCACTAGAGGAAAAGGTGGGAGCACTCCAACTTAGAGGCATAAGTGTAGACCTTTTAAATGGGACTCCAGTAGCACAGGAAATATGATAGGCAGTGGACCAATGGGATCTCAGGAACTCTAGAAGCTTCTGTGTGGCAAACCCAACTGCAAATTAAGTAAAAAGACAGCACACAGAATGGGAGAAAATCTTTGGCATCTATAAATCCAACAGGGAATTAGTGTCTACAATATTTTTAAAAAGAAAGAAAAAATACAAAGGATCAATAAACAATTTAAAGTGTCCAACATCCTTTACTATTATTAGGGAAATGCAGGTTAAACTAAAACTGTTTTCAGGTTCTATCTCACTTAAGCCATTCGGAAAACAAATTATAACAAATGCTGGTGTAAATATGGGTACAGGAGGCCCCTTACATGTCATTGCTGGGAGTGTAAACTAGTACGGCCTCTTTGGATTTCAGTCTAGTGGTTTCTCAAAAAACTAGAAATAGGAATATCACATGACCCAGGTATAGGATAATGTGATACATGGAATAACTCAGCTCTAAAAAGGAAGTTATGACATTTGCAGGTAAATAGATATAAAGGAAAAAACATACTGAGTGATGTCTCCCAGGCTTATAAAGACAAATGTCACTTACTTTCTCACAAATGCTGAAGCTAGCTTTGAATCTTTTGTTTTATGTGTTTAACTTGGAGTTTCATATGGAAGTAGAAAACTAGGAACTGGCCACTGTGGGCAAATGCAATTACAGAGGGGAGGTTGTAAAATATAAATAAAATCAAAGTAGAGAGGGGAATATTGTGGGCAGGATGGTTCAATAATGGAGGGGCTGGGGTACAGAAATATGATGGAAAGGGAACTGCTAACCAAAATGAAGGGTATAGGAAAAAGCTTTATGGGAACATATGATCTTCAGCCCAAATAAAATTTAATTAGAGAATATGGTAGAACACAGGTGACAGGAAAGAACAGGGAATAGAGGGAATCCTGAAGTTTAAAGGTTAAACATCAGTGATCCCAGGTGGGTAGAGGAGGAGTTGGGCTGGACCAACCAACACTAAGGATATATGAAGAATTCCTACGGAAACCCACTAGTTTGTAAGTTAATTTTAAAATACCATTTTTTAAAATGGAGTTTGAACAGAGCCATTCTGCACGGGTTGACAATGTTGCTTCCAAAAGACATAGATTATGAAATGAAAATCTCAGTGCCAGACACAGGATACTGTCCTATGAGTTATTTACTGATTAGTGAGACCACAGAAAGAAACAAAATTCATTGTTCTTGGTTTTCCACCAAAACTAGATGGTAAAACCCATCACTGGTAGAGAACATGAGGCACTAATCTCCCACTGCCCAGGAGACTTTCTACCAGCCGGCTAGCACTCCCGGTGCTAGAAAGTGCAGTGTAGGCTGCTAGGGGAGAAAAGCCATCACCATTCTTACCAAGCTTTGTACCCTACATGCTACCATGCCAATCTATCGGGCAAGATTGAGTAACATCAGCGTGGCAGCTATGAATGGATTAGATTTGAGGTCTTTTTCATGGGAAATATGTCATGTCTGGAACTCTAAACCTGGTGAAAAGCCCATGGCTGAGGAGGTCAAAAGTTCCAGAAAGAACCCAATGTTTTTGTAAATGCTCATGTTACACTGGTTTCTAAATATTTGTGTGTATACCCATAGATTGGTGCTGCTCTCACTTGGTGAGATTTTTTGTTTGTTTGTTTGTTTTTTATTACAGAAATGTTCCAACAGACTGTTTGTTCAAGCTCTGGTTACAGAGCTATCTTAAGTAGTTAGCTAAACAATACATAAACAGAAGTAAAAAAAAAAAAAGTTCATTCCTGAAGTGAACCTAGAGTCTTGTGTCTCTCTGTCTCCCATTTCACACCTCTCCAGGCCCTGTGCTGCTCATGAGATGTGTCTAACATATGGAATATGTGGGTAAGTCAAATGACCTGTTCAAAGTTCCAAGTCGATGCAATGCCAGGAAAAGGCTAACACTAGCATGAATTAAGTATCCTATAACACACATTGTGGCAAGCATTTTATGATACACTCTTAGATACTCTTTCCACTTTATTATCTCATTTAAATTAGAGTCTTGGCTAGCCATGATCTATTAAGTTGCTCTTCAATAACCACATAATTCACCACAATAAGCACTAATTTGCCCTTGGGTATCTACAGGGGATTGGTTCCAAATCTCTTACAAATCTACAGATGCTCAAGTTCCTGATTAAAAAAATTATATATATATATATATATATATATATATATATATATATATATATATATATATATATATATATATTGTGGTGATATATAGTGTAACCTAATAAAATTTGCCTGAAGATCAGAGAACAGAATAAACCATTAGATTAAACATAGAGGCCAGGCAGTGGTGGTACACACCTTTAATCCCAATACTTGGGAATCACAGGCTTTTAATTCCAGCACTAAGAAGGAAATGATGGGTGGGCGGAGAAAGGTATATAAGGTGTGAGGAGACAAGAACTGAAGGCATTTTCAGGCTTAGGAATCCTAGAGATAAGACATGGCAATGGTTTGTTCCATTGTCTCTCTGATCTTTCAGCGTTTACCCCAATACTTGGCTCCGGTTTTTATTATAAGACCATTTAGCAGTTCTTGTTACAGTATGTAACCTTTACTTATTTTCCTAGATGTTTTAAATCATCTCTATACTACTTTTTATACCTGATGCAATGTAAACAATGAAGAATTGTTATTTTGTTTATGGTGTAATTATAAGCAAATAAATAATCTGTACATGTTCAGGACAGGTACAATTTATTTTAAACTTTTATTTATTGATTGTCAAACCTATAGATACTAAGGGTCAGTTGTGGAAGGCGAACAGTAACTCAGTTGTCATAGTTTCTTCTCCTCTTTAGTAAAATGCCCACATAGAGGCAACCCAGAAAAAAAGGGTTTATTTCAGCTCACAATTCATGGGAAGCCTGGAGCAGTTGGCCACACTGCATGCACAATCCAGAAGCATAAAATGATGAGTCTCTGTTCTCAGCTTACTTTCTCCTTTTTCATACAGTAAAGAACCAAAACCAAGGAATCATGCCATCCCACTTTAGTGCAGGTCTTCCCACTTCAATTAACCTAATCAACATAGTCTTCAAGGGCATGGACAGAGGTTAAATAATCCCTCACTAGTGTGCCTAGAGCCCTGTCAAGTTGCCAATCAACATAACCATCAATGTGAGTAAAATGCTTGCCACAGAAGCATGAAAATCTGAACTTGGATCCCTAGAACCCAAATAAAAACCAGGCATCATGGCATATACCTGTAACCACACTGTTAGGATGGCAGAGAAAGGCAGATCACAGGGGGCTGATCCAGTCTAGCCCAAACAGTGTACACAACATTCACTAAAAATCTGCCTCTAAAAGTGAGGTAGAGAGTGACACACAAACATATCACACACACACACACTTGATATATTCTGTATTTCTACATGCATTTCCTTTTTAATATGTGCCATATATAACATTCATTAAAATGCAAAAGTTTAATTTTACATTCAAAATATGCAAATTTATTTAAATTTTCACTCAACTGTAGGAAATGGTACTCTGGTGTTACAAGGAAAAAATTTTAGAAAATCTCTCACCTTTGCTGAGTGATTCAAATCACTTTCTAGAGGTAATGGACAGGGTGCTCCTTGTGATTCCTTAAGTTTTTCTTTTAGTTTTATATTTTCTTGTTCTTTTTGAAACAGTTGGTCCTGAAGATCAACAATACTTTGTCGAAGCATAGCTTCATTTGATTTTGTAGTTTCAAAACAAATATGTAATTCATCATAAAGCTGTTTAAAAAATGCAAAATAATATAATCAATAAGGTAATTATGCACATATATATGTGAACTATATATGGACATATACTTGACCTTAACTATGTTAATAGCCAACAAGCAGACACAATGTGGAAGTGATAGAATTAAGTATCAATATAAAATTATATCTGGCATTCAAGAAGTAAAATCATTACCAGCCAGGGTATCAGAGAAAAAGTGTTAAGTATAAAAGGAGGAAAATGATTCTAAGTTAATTACACTCACTTGCAGGACTTCAAATTAGAAAATGGTCTTGAATAAGCAATGACAGTTCTACTAGAATTGACCAATTTAAAAAAAAAAATCAGTCTAAAGATGACAAAAAATGTGAAAAAGTATGTAATTTGTTAGGAAAGGACACAGAAGCATACTGCATATTTCACTGGGAATTCTTTAAGATTAACTGATATATTTTCATTTAGTCTAAATTAGTGTATCTTTCTGAAGAAGGGAGAGGGAAAAACTAAGAGCCAAAGCGAGGAAATCAGGTTGTAGGCACACACAGATATAAGTATCAGGACAGTGGAACACTTCCATAGACAGCAGGAGAGAACAGAGATCTAGAAATGTATAATAAGACAAAGGCAGTGTTGTAAAGGCACAGGTAGATAAGATCAAATTGTTTAAATTAAGATACATGCATTAAAGCTAAAGTTATAGTTAATTAAACTGTGAGCCAGTATGTGGTACATAATTAGTATCTCATGCAGGCATGCCTGGTTAACAGCAGTGTCCCTACAGTGCTCAAGAATTTGCTTAGTAAGAAAACTTTCAACTTAGGCTTGTTGTTTAATGTGTTTTAACTCAACTGTGGTGACAGATTTAAATATGGAATCCAAATGCATTTCTGCTGCTCATACTATGAAAATGATCCAAAAGCTAAGATTCTTTTTAAGAAAAACAGCTACCAGAAAAACTATGACAAAAGCAAAAACCTCCAAGCAGAAAAATCACATTACATAGCTAATAGAGTAGGATTTTAAATTTGTTCATCCAATTAAAGATATGGAGTGTCTTCATTTATTGGCATAACACAAAAATTCACAATAATGTAGGTTTTAATGAATTTATATAGTGTATATTGCTATACATTTCTGTATATGTGTTACAATTTAATTTTTAAAGCTTAAAATTTCAAGAAAGGTATGTGCATCCTATTTTCTTAAAAACTTTCCTAAAATATACAATTTTCATAAAAAATAAGACCTCTGAAATCTTCTAAGATATAATTAATCAAAATATTTGGGGTCTATAAATGATATCTATTATTATAAATATTTAGCTAATTCATATCACTTTACAGCAAAATTTAAGCAACTTTTACAAAATAGGTGTTACATGTAGAATTCATAAAGAATTTCAAAGTACAAATTAGTGCTTTCCTTTGTCATTGCCTTAGGCAGGGGTATATGCCAAGGTCCTTTTCACAGCTAACATAATCAGATGCTGTAAGAGGAGAAAGCAGTAATACTGACAGCTTTCAGGGACAATCAAGAGGTCAGTGTGGGCACAATAATCACCTGCCTACAGATGCTTTCATGACTGGGAAAAAGCTGACTCTAGAGACTAGAGCCAAGCTGAAGGGAGACAGTAGGACTCAGCAAGCGTGAAAGTGATACACCTTCTCTCAGATGCCACCTCCTGAGCTCCTCCTTCATTCACACAAGGGTCTAGTCACCCAGGAGAAAAAAAACCCCTCTTTTAAGCTCTTGTTTCTCCTCTGGCCTCATATCCTTTCTTCATCCAACAGAAGAGCAACAGTACTCTTCTGGCTCTTGAGTCCCCCAGTGCAGTCTAGACTTGGTGTACAAGTCCAGCCCACCATGCTCTGTACTACTACTTAGCTTTCTTGTCAAGATGCCTGAGGTACACCACAGAGAGGAAGAGGTGAAGGCCTTTGCCTTTCAGATAGAAATCACTAAGCTCATGTCGCTCATCATCAACACTTTCTACTTGGACAAGGAATTTTTCCTTTGCCAGTTGATTTCTAATGCTTCTGGTGCTTTGGACAAGATTTGCTATGAGAGCCTGAGAGACTCTTCCAAGTTGGACAGTGGTAAAGAGCAGAAAATTGACATCACCTTCAACCTTTAGGTATGCACCCTGACTTTGGAGGACACAGGCATTGGCATGACCAAGGCTGACCTCATAAATAACTTGGGAACCAATGCTAAGTCTGGCACAAAAATAATCATTGTCTCCAGGTGGGTGCAGACATCTCCATGACTGAGCAGTTTGCTGTTGGATTCTATTCAGCCTATCTAGTGGGAAAGAAAGTGTTTGTAATCACAAAGCACAATGATGATGATCATATGCCTCACAGTCTTCTGTTAGTGGATCCTTCACAGTTCCTGCAGATCAAGATGAGCCCATTGGCCTGGGTATCAAAGTGATCCTTCATCTCAAAGAAGACCAGACAGAATGGTTAGAGGAGAGGAGGACTGTAGCATGAATCTTAAAAGGTCATATTAATAAAACAAACCCAGAGCCAGGTATTGGGGTGAACGCTGAAAGATCAGAGAAACAGAACAAGCCACAGCTAACCTCACCTTGCCAATTCCTTAGCTGATCTTGTTTCCTCAAACTGGAAGCCTCTGTGTCCTCATCTGAATGGATCTCAGCTGAACTGCTGCTAAAAGCCTAAAAGCTTAACAGGACTCTAGTTCATATATATATATGATGTATATAGGACTCACATCTTATATACCTTTCTGCTTTCTGCCATAACTTCCTGGAATTAAAGGCGTGTATCACCACACCTGGCTGTTTCCAGTGTGGCTTTGAACTCACAGAGATCCAGATGTATCTCTGTCTCTGGAATGCTAGGATTAAAGGCATGTGCTACCACTGCCTAACCTATGTTTAATACAGTGGCTGTTCTGTTCTCTGACCCCCAGATAAGTTTATTGGGGTGCACAATATATCAACCACAGAGGATCAAGGAAGTGATGAAGAAACATCCCCAGTTCACAGGCTATCCTATCATACTCTGTTTGGAGAAGGAATGAGAAATGGAGATCAGTGATGATGGGGCAGAGAATTGAGAAGGGTGAGAAAGAGAAAGAAGATAAGGATGAACAGTGCTGCTATTCCAGATAAGATTCCCAACTCCAAAGTGATGAGGATGCCTCAAGCATGGAGAAAGTAGATTAGAGACTTCTGCAAGCCCATGACCTCTAGTTTCCCTGTGGCTCCCCTGGCAGCCTTGACTGGCCCTGACCTACCTGGTTCTCTGCTCATATCTAGAGGATCTCTTCTATCCTGTCCTTAAAGAAAAAAAATCCCTTCCCACAAAATAGCAAGGTTGGGGATTGTGTATTGTGTTTTGTTTGTTTGTTTTATTTTATTCTGAAATTAAAAGTATGAAAAATAAAGAAAAAAAGAACAGTATTCTTCCACTGTTCCCATATGACTGCACGGTTATACTCCTGTTCACAAGTTTCCTCAGTTGTAGCTGGTCTGATGGAGAGGTAATTCTAGATACTGGAGCAAGCTGTGTCTTGTGGTGAATAATTGTACTTCAAAGCAACAAGAATTGGGAAAAAAATTGGAAGAGAAGATCTAACTAGCCTGCTTCCCGGACCTAGGACGAACACATTCCTTGGCTATAAACATCTCCTGCTTTCCTGCTCTGTTAGACCATGCCTGGCCTTGCTCACTTCCTATGCAGTGACTGGAAATAACCTAGATGTCCCTCAACTGAAGAATGGATAAAGAAAATATGGTACATTTACACAATGGAGGATTAATCAGCTGTTAAAGAATGACATTATGTACTGTAGGGTATACTGTGTGACTCACAGCAGCTTCCACGATGGAATTTTTTTTGTTCTTGTTTTTGTTGTTTTTTAATTTTGTTGTATTTTGAAGGGGGATTGCAAAGGCAGAGGGTGGATATGAAGGGATGGGGAAATGAGTGAGGTTAAGGTGCATGATGTGAAATTCACATAGAATCAATAAATTTTTTTAAATGACATCATGAAATTTGAAAGCAAATAGATGGAAATAGAAAAAAAATCATACTGAGTGAGATAACCCAGATCCAGAAAGACAAATTAGGTAAAGAGGAGGACTGTGGAGCAGGGCGTAGGGAGATCATGGATCTCCCTGGGAAAGGGAAATAGAATATAGATTTTGTGGGTGGACTAGGGATGGGTGGGGATGGGAAAAGGAAGGATCAGGTAAAGGGAGGAAGGATAGAGGGAGAGAGTGAGGGGAGAGATGACTGGAATTGGGAAGCAATTGGGGGTCAATGTGGAAACCTAGTGCAGTAGAAACTTCCTGGAATCTATGAGGGTGACCCTAGTGAGGACTCCCAGTAATGGAGGATACAGAGTCTGAACTGGCCAACTTTTGTAGCAAGGCAAGGCTTCCAGTGGTAGGACTAGGTTGTATTTGGTTCAGTTGGTGGTGGAGGGGGTTCTGTGGAGAACCCTAAACATCCCAGGCTGATGCTAAGACAGAAGGCTGCTCTCTGAAAATGACAGTAGGACTCCACTGTTGAGGACGACATCCACAGTTCATTGAAGGTAAAGAGGTTGAGCTGGTGCCTGAATAGAGCCTTCACCCCACCTTCTAATCTCTTTGGCACAAGAAGTTTACCCTGCAGGCTACCTAAAGAGGAATATGGACACCAACGCAGCCACAAAACTCTCAACCTACAATCAGTCCTGCCTGCAAGATGTGCTGGGGCAATGGTGGCTTAGAACTTGTGGGAGTGGACAACCTATGTCTGGTTTAATTTGATGCCCATACCACAAGGGGAGTCCGTGACCTACTCTGCTGAATGGCCTGTTACCCAGAGGCTGGGTAAGCAAGAGACCTAGGGTAGAACCAAACACAACTAGCAAAACAACAACACAAAATGATGAAATTATTCCTAATGATATTTATAGAACAGTGGTTCTCAACCTCCTTAATCCAGCTTAGGTCAGCTGTCTCTATGGGTTTTCCCATCATGACCTTGACCCTCCTTGCTCATATAATCCCTCCTCTCTTACTTCTACTGGACTCCAGGAGCTCGGCCCAGTGCTTGGCTGTGGATCTCTGCATCTGCTTCCATTAGTTACTGGATGAAGGTTCTATGATGACAATTAGGGTAGCCACTAATCTGATTACATGAGAAGGCCAGTCCAGACATCCTTTCCACTATTGCTAGGAGTCTTAGCTAGGGTCATCCTTGTGGATCCTTGAGAGTTTCCCTGGCTTACCCCATAATGGTCCCCTCTATCACAATAACTTTCATTATTCTCCCTCACCGTCCATCCCCCAACCCGACCATCCTGATCTCTCGTATTCCATCCTCCTTCTCCTCCCCTCTACCCTCTCACCCCTAGTTTACCCAGGAGATCTCATCTATTTCTCCTTTGCAGGGTGATCCATGCATTCCTCTTAGGGTCCTCCTTGTTACCTAGCTTCTCTGGGGCTATGGATTGTAGCCTGGTTATCCTTTGCTTTACATCTAGTATCCACTTATGAGTGAGTAATACAGTGTTTATCTTTATGGGTTTAATACAGTTCCTTTTGTAGTGACCCCAACCATAAAATATTTTCAGTGCAACTCCAGAACTGTAATTGTGCAATTGTTATGAATTGTAATATAAATATCTGATATGCAGGATATCTGATACATGACCCCTTGTAAAAGGGTTGCTCCACACCCAAAGGGGTCATGAACCACAGGTTGAAACTGCTATAACAACAGCTATACTCATAGACCTAGATAGGTGCCTTGTCCAGTCATCATCATAGCAACTTCCTCTGGCAATAGATGGGAGCTGGTGCAGAGACCTACAGTCAGACATTATGTAGAGAGAGTCTAAATTGGAGGTCTCCATTGGGTCCCGTCCTTAGGAGATCAGGTAGCCTCGCAGAAGAAGAGGAGAAAAGACTGGAGGAGTCAGAGGGGATGGAGGACACCAGGAGAACATGACCACTGAATCAACTAAGCAGGGCTCACTCAGCTGGCTCACAGAGACTTAAGGGGCAAGCACAGGGCCTGCATGGATCTGCACGTGGTCCTCTGCATATATGTTTCATGATTGTTAACTTGGTGTATTTGTGGGATTCCTAACAGTAGGAGTGGATGTGTTTTGATTCTTTTGCCTGCTCTTGGGACTCTTTTCCTTCTATTGGGTTGACTCGTCCAGCTTGGATATGAAGGCTTTTGCCTTATCTTATTGAAACTTGTTTTGTACTGTTTGGGTGACATCTCTTGGAGGCCTGCTCCATCAAATGATGAATGGATAATGAAGATATGGTATATTTACACAATGGAATATTATTCAGCTATTAAGAAAAACAGAAAAATTTCAGGTAAATAATGGAACTAGAAACAATCATCCTGAGGGAGCTAACCCAGACCCAGTGTGAAAGTCACTGTAGGATTTCTCTTATATGTGGATGATAGTTAAAACCTTAGATATATGTACTTCATTCCAGGGATTAGGGACCTCATAAGGAATTAGGGGAGGTGGTAGAAGGGGCTCTTCCAAGGAAGGAGAAATGGAATAAGTGTTATAAATGGATAAAGAGTAAAATAGAATAGGATTATTAAATGGGAAGTGGAATAGGAGGTCAGGATAAAGGAAGAAATAAGGGAGGGATAAAAAAAAATAAAGGTCTTTTGAAAAATCATACGGAAACCCACTTTAGCTTCCTAAAATATATAAAAGGAATTTGAATGGAGTTATTATATAATGGGCAGAGAATGCCCTAACTGTACATCATATGCTACCAAATAAAATCTCCAGGATCTGAATGAGTTACATATTGTTGAATCATTGGCCACAGGAGTCCCATACCCTATCCTCAAGCATTACAGGCCATTGTCAATGCTATCACTTACCCTCCACAATATGACAGTAAGGCCCTATTGCTAAAGATAACACATATCTAGGTAATCACACTTGGAGAAGTCAAGCAAGTGCCTAACTAGGAGCTTCACCCCTACTGACTAGTGTTCACAGTGATGGAAGGTACAATGCACACTATCCAAAGGAAAAAATTATCACTCTCACCCAGCTACAAATCCTGGGACTCAGCACAGCGACGTGCCTACAAGATACACTGGAACAACAGTGTGGCACAAAGGCTACAGGAGACACCAACCGCTTGTTAAATTGTATTTAAGGCCAGCTCCATGAGATAGAACTCACACTTGACATTGCTAATGAAGTCATGAACCCCAGACTAGATAGGTCAAGAGCTGCAGGGAAAAAAAACTAATACTATCATTCTGCTAAATAAACATAATAATGAAACAACCACTAATGACATACTGCTGTACCCATAGATCAGAGTATCATTCAACCGTGATCAGAGAAGCTTCTTTTGCAGTAAATGGTAATAAACACAGAGACCCATCAATAGACAATGTGTAGACAATGAGGGATCTTGGAGCATTCAGCTCTTTATAAGATGTCTGTATCACACCCCTTCCTTAAGGCTTCAGGGTCTTTGTGGAAGAGGAGGGAGAAAGATTGTAAGAGCCAGAGGCAGCAGATGACGCTAAAGAAATGACATCTTACAAACAAAACAGTTATACAGCACATATGAACTTACAGAGACAGTGATGCATGCATAAGACCTGCACAAGTTCAAGTCAGACAAAAATCCCTGCATAGGGAAGGAGGAGTGGACACAAAGTCCCACCCCTAACCAAGAAGCTACTTACAATTGATAACTGCTGGGAAAAGTACAAATCAGTTTTCTCCACTGAAGTGACAATCACCCTCCAAGGCAGGTCACAAGCTCGGGAGTAGGTGACCAACACAAAATGAACTCCATGATATATATATATATATATATATATATATATATATATATATATATATATATATATATGTTTTTTGATTATAGTTTGATCTTTTTGTGTAGTGGATGGTTGTCTGTGCCATGCCTTGAAGCACTGGCCCTAGTGAGGTAGCAGGTAGCTGCTAGGTACCTGCCCCTGGGGTGTGGCTGCTGGAGACCCTTAAGACCTGAAATGCTCATATGTTCTCTCTCTGCCTCATGGATTTTGGACACTGAGCTGGAGGAGGAAAGAGCTCCCCAGAGAACAGCTTGGACCTTGCCTCACCCTTCCAGGATCCTGCTACAATCCCTTATTTCTGTCTTGTGAGTTAACCCCCAAATAAATTCCTTTGATCATTAAGCTGATTCCATGGATTGATAGTGATATAACTGCATTATTTTTGCTTTTTATTTTATTTTCTTGGTTCCCTTTATTTGTTTGCTTGCTTGTTTTTAGAGGAGAGAGGGAAAAATATAATACTTGATCGGGTAGGGAGGTGGGAGGAATCTAAGAGAACTTGGGAGAGAGGAAAATATGATCAGAATATAATATTATATGAAAAAATTTATACTTAATAAAAGCCAGGAGCTCACATTGTGATGGCAATGGTCCCATCCTCTATGACAAGAAACATGTTCCTTTGACTGTGTATTACTATGAAGGCTGACAGCTCTAAGTTAGAGACTGCTCAGGCTCTGAAGCTACATCCCTGCCTCCTGTGGGTTGCTTCCAAGCAGGTCTTAGAACTCTGAGCCCTGGTCTGGCAGAGAACTAGATTGTCCCTGCTTCCTCCCTCCCTGGGTAAGTTTGCTGAGGAGAGGGTCTGAAAGCACTGAAGAAGCAGGAAGAATGCCTAATTCCCCAGGTTCTCCTCCTCCAATGCACAACTCAGTTTCTGTTTGCCGATACATACTCCCTAATGCATTCAGGGACACTGCTGAACCGTGACATTTGCTATCACCAGGGATACAAACTCAAGGGCCTCTAGAGGAACTAGCAACCTGCTGGGCCCAGAAAAACCTCTCTGGACCAGCATTGACTCCTGGCAAACAGACAGAGCCTCTCAATAAATGAAGCTCTGAATCTCACAACATACTTGTAACCAACACCCAGCCCACCTACACACAGCATCTACTATTGCACTGGAAAAAGGACATCTACAGACTCCAGCTACCACCTGCTGACCCCAGAACTGTGAGGTACAGAAAAATAAAGCCATCTTAAACTTCCTTCAACCTAATCCATTCTCAGCTATTAAAGAAGAACATTACTCTCATGGTGTTATTTATATAAACAACTTAATACATTGTAACACACATTGTAAAATATATAAAGAGCTCAATATAGGTGCTCCTTTAAATTAATAGTGGAATTAGTGATGCTGAGTCAATTAGCATAGCTCAAGAGCCAAGTAAGCCTTGCTGTGGGCTCCTCAAACAACAACAGTAAAATTACTACTAAAAAGAAACTAAAACATAAAGAGAAAAATCCTTGAAAATGAATGATCCTGAAGACCTCATCAACAATCCCTTTGTGTCTGTGCACATTTGCCAATAAAACAATATAGATTCTATATAAAGGCTCCCTTAGGTCATACATCAGGATCATACTTGATCCAATCACTTCTTATAATAAAAGTACTATTGTACCTAGTATGGTTCACAGAAGAAATAAAAGTTCCAATTTATAAGTTGCTTTAATATCTATATTTTCAACTTTTACCATAGAAAACTTACAAAAATTTAAACATTAGCAAGTTAAACCAAGTAAAAAGGGAATAATACAAAATTTAGAAAACTTGAAATTTCTTTTCCTGAGTTTATGCACGTAATTTCCCATCTTTACACCAGAGCAGCAGCATACCTTTTGGTATGATATACTTTCAGCCAGGTGAACATCCTCCTGATTCTTGAGTACTTTTTGTGTGTCCATATTGAGAACCTGGAGCTGCTGGATCAGCTCAGCTTGCTGTGCTGTATGTGCACTGTTCTGCTTGTACAGATTCTGCAGCTCCTGCAACTCTTTCCTGTTCAAAGCAAGCCATAAACAGAGAGAGGAATAAATAAAGATCACCTCAGTTAAATAATTATGTTCACCTAAGAGTATAGATCGGCTTCCTATTTTTCATCTATTATTTTTTATTGCAGGCAAACTTATTAATAAATGAAATAATGTATAAAGCATTTAATATTTATCACATACACCTAGAAAGTATTGACAGAGCTACTATGGCTTTCAAAGGCAAATACTTATCAACTTTCTTTTATAGCTTGATAGAAATAAAAATTCTGGATATATTGTCATAGAGCAGCCTTCTTATTGAAATTAAGTTAAAATTTCCGTTCCAAGAACTGATAAGCAATGGCCCTAACTATAGTTATCAGATAGTTTTAAATATAGCTTAAGCTTTAAGCTTCAAGCTTTCATTTTTACATAATAAATAACTTTAAGTACAGTGAAGAAAAAACGAGGCTAATAAAGTTTTCAAACCACAATGTGACTCTGGGGATGACGAGTAAGACGATGAGGCCAAAGGTCAGAAGGAAGGAAATAAACACAAGGGAATGCAGTCCTAGCAAACACCCAGGTGGACACTGGTGATAAGGGGGACAAATGACAGAGGAGGGAAGAGGGAGACTAAGAATGGAGGAGAACAGTTCCTCTGGGGAAGACTTCCGGATCCCTGTGGTAAGAAATCGCGTGGGACGCAGACTATATAAAAACTATAAATTACTTGGTTATTCTATTTGGACAAAAAGAATATTTATAGAAACAATTACTTGAGGCTCCATTACTTAGTTTGTTAGAACACCTTGCTTATACAGAGACATATATCACCAAAATACATTTCATTTTATATATTTTGGAGATCGTATTTTAAGTGGTAATTTCTCTCTCTCTCTCTCTCTCTCTCTCTATATATATATATATATATATATATATATATATATGCTTCAAACTTGTTACTTATATACATGAAAAGATTTAAAATAAACAAACACATAAAGAGTTGCTGAAGACTAATGAAAATTACTACAGAGAAAATAAGCTCTGCTTTTTAGACATTTAAGACAAGAATGTTCTCGGTCAGATTGATAAACCCTGCACCCACACAGATAAATACATGTGCATAATCTATCTTCCTATGACTACTAAATGTGGAAATGTATAAAAATAACAGGTCAAACATTGGAGAGAGAATAAGGAACTGTACAGTGCCTCTAGGAAGTATGATAAAGAAAGACACACAGTAGAAGTCCATTCTGACTGTGCTGTTTTCTGTTGCTAAGTCAGAAAATTTAAGAAAGGAAAAAAACAATAGTATGTCCACTGAGGACAGTGAGAGCCTGTTGGCCAAAAGACCTATGTAAATAAATGTTGCACTTGTCAAAGGAGCAAGATGAAGTTAAACACAAGTACAAGACAAAAATAAAAACTCATTTCTCCTCCAATATTCAAATACATCATCTATTTCTTAATAAGAAAGCAAGGCTGATATACACAAAAATTATTTAAAATTCTAAATACATGCATCTTCAGCCATAACAAACATAATGTAGAGAAGAGAGACACTCACGTTACTATGAGGCACCAGAGCACTTTTGTATTACCTCATAGACTACTTAACAACCATACTGTTAGTAAGCATGAAATGACCTGGAGTGTGTGTTCTCTCTCTCTCTCTCTCTCTCTCTCTCTCTCTCTCTCTCTCTCTCTCTCTCTCTCTCT